CAAAAATTTTTGAAAAAAACATTTCTTCTTAGGGGGAGCTTATTTAGTCTAAAACGTATTTTAGGAATTTTTTCATTAAATTCCTCTTTAAACTTCATTAAAGAACACAATTTTGTACAAATAATTGAATGTTATGCTACTATTTATAAAAATAAAATCAGAAATTCATTAAAAGTTCTCTATCATTTTTTCAATTCACAAATGCACACTTGCATTGCCTACTAAGAAAGTTAGTACCGGTAGTCATCGGGTTAAAACAGAGAACAGTAAATAAAGAAGTATAGAAAACAATTATCTCTTCTAGTTATGAGCTTTGTACTCATTTGCTGCTTTCCATAAGTTGGTAAGCCTTATCAAGTTTTTAGTTTTATATCAATCAATCGCAATACCATTATCAGTCTTGGTTGCCAACTTACTGTCATATAATGTCTGTAGTAATAGCACCCAAATTCATTGGGGATATCCCATCTATCAGACAATATCCAAATGCTGATGCCAGTCTAGTCAGCCATCATGGAAAATCATATATACATATATATATATATTATTTTTTTTTTATTTTTTTTTAATTCATCATCAATCAAATAAGGGTACGAAGCTGAGTGCTTACACCCACAACATCTCAGCTTCTGTCTATAGTCAGTTGTGGGAAAGCAGTTACCCTTAAATTTCTTACAGTAGAAATGAATTTAAATAAAGCCACCCAAATATTTCTACTAATTAAACTCCCAACCTCCAACCTTACAAAAAGATATTAAATAGAACTATACATCCTACCTTAAAAGTTCTTATATAGTTCTAACTCCTCCCTATCTCCTGAAGATTTATTCAAATATAACATGGGAATGGTGAAATAAGCCCAGCTACTTGAAGTTAGTATTTCCACCCCGGTTATACTGAACAAAATTACTAGTAAAATTATTATTAGCTACTTATAAGCTAAAATAACTAACTCCCTCTATATTTTATTTATAAGATATTTTCCTTATTCGTTAGTTTAGATTCTAAAATATTTTTGTATTTATTAAAAAAATAAAATAATGTATTTCTTTAATTGCCTATCTCTATAGCCGTTATCTTTCAATTTATTTTTTTATAATAAAACTCTGTCTATAAAAAAAAATTAGTTATTACACACTATTAAGAACAGTTTTAGTTGAGATATAATAATACCTTTTAACATGATACATGGAATAACACCATTAGGTGTAGGTAGACCAAGAATGGGAAACTTAAATTCTTTTTTTTTTTTTATCAAAAATAGTCAACTGCACCGTATCGTCTATAAAAGTATTGTCCAAATCTAAATAATTTGCATGTACCTCATTATTATTACTTCCTTCTATTGTAAGTTCTGTTGGAAATATAAGGTTTGGTGTAAAAGTTATATTTTTCATAGATATTAAATCATCTATATAACAGAAAGTGTAAATGTATAAGTTATGATTTAAAGTCTGCTTCATAAGTTAGTTTTTATAAAAAAAACAGATACAGGTTGGCCATATTTGAAGAAGTTTGTTCCAATTGGAATACACACCATTTGCTTATATACTTGTCCATTAAAAAAAATATGACTTATAAATACAGAAATGGAAGTATATTTTTACATTGAATTCTAGTAAATATAAATTTACGTGTAGTTATTTCGTTATTTATAAAGTTATCAAACAAATCATTGAAAACCCTGATAAAATCTTTAGGTCTATTTTAGTATACAATGTAGTAAAGTCATATGTAAAAATAAAACTAGCATTTTTGAAGAATTTAAATTATTTAAACATTCCAAAACTGGAATGTTATTTGTAATAATCCAAAAATAATTATTCTAGTTATTTGAAGATTATTTTTATTTTTTCAAACATGATATATAGAATATTGTCAAGTACTATGGAAACAGATTTAATAACTGTATTTAAGGAATTTGTAATAAATCTGAATTTCACAGGATTTTTATGTAATTTTGGAATTGTATATAAAAATGGTAAATTTATACAAGAATAATCTGTATGGATATTCCCTTTTTTAATAGCCTTCTTTAAATTAGTAATACATTATTTTTCTTTAAAGTACTTTTAGTAAAAGTACTTATGGTATTAATTTCATTAAGTAAAATTTGTGCATATAAACTTTAAACTTTTACCAACATGGTAAAAGGCCACGCCATCTCGTTTGTTGACTTGCATTCAAACTTTTATTCATCTACTATTTTATGAATGTATGTCAATAAGTTTGGTATCAAATTCTAGATCATAATTCAAATTTTAGTACTATACATTACTTAATTTCTTAATTTAAAAGTAAATATTAAACAAAAACACCTAAATATTGATTTTTGTGTGTCATGGTATATTGAATGCACCATTGGTTCAAATTAGATGTTTGTAATGTCAAAGTCTATAGTTTCTTATGAATTAGATTCACAAATTACCAATATTGACAAGCTAGAATATAAAATAAGAACCTTGTACTTTTTCTGTTTTCTGAGATATCAATATATCTATTGAATCAACCAAAATGGCTCAGCCCACCTCTTCAATTTTTGAAAATACTTTCTCACGTACACCTACTTCGCCCAATGAGGTGTGTATAAACAATCGAAAATATTTGAGCAGAAAACTTTTTTCTTTTCTTTCTGGATTCCAAGCAGTAAGTTAAGACATTAGTGAGCTCGAAATTTTATATTTTTAGACCCAAATATAGCTTAGTTACTAAGCTTGTTAAATTAAAGTGGAAATCTGTTGTATTGATATAGTAATTTATTATTTTTGGTTATTTCAAAATGTATATATAAAACCTGAAAACAATTGTTTTGTTTCACATCCTCCATGTGCAAAATTTGATAAGGCTTGGCAACTTAGGACAAGCAGCAAGAAGAAGAGATAAATGTTTGCTTTAATTCTTTATTAACTGTTCTATATTTTAAGAAAAATAAGTTTAGGAACTTGTTTGTAAACAGTAATAATGTATATACATATATAACATATTATAACTGAAATGAGACTGTATTTTACAAAATACTAATCCACTAAAACACAGCCAAAACATGTCACTTTGTAAAGGCTAGTTTTATATTCTTGGATACAGTAACATGAGTGCATGTGTGCCACATCATTGCAACTTTTGTAATGTTAGCCAGGCACAACTGAAAGGTCAATATAATAAAAATAATATATACATACATACATACACACACACACACACACACACACACATGTTGAGATTTAAGTTATTTACACTAAACAATTATGTTTTCGTGGTATAATCTGTAGTCATTCTACAACAAAAAAAGCATAATTTATATTTATTTCCTGATTATTAAGTGGTGGTTACAAGGTCAGACAAATCGCCCCAAACCCATACTGAGATACGATAGTGAAAATAACATACAAAGAATTAAGTTTTTTCTAAAAACATTTGATAATTATCTGCATGTTGGATAGTCACTAAAAAAA